TAAATATTACGACGCAAGCTTGGTGATTACATTGATAATTATTTGCTCCGGTAATATAATTAATAGATACGTGTCATTCCGTGCGATAATGCTATTAATAAGTACGTAGGATTCCGTTGATTGAACGTTATAGAATGTAACTAGGCACGGTTGCGCATATTACTTCGCATCACGTGATGACATTATGATGTTATAAGCGGCACGGTTATTAACGCCGCATGAAATCAAATGAACGGTAATAAACCATGCGTCAACGTGCATTATCGCTTGCATCAGCTTTTCATGCAATCCTTTATCTTATTAATTTTGTAAAAAAGTAATTAACTAATTGAAAAACGTGATAGTTGATATAAAAAATGAAGTGCGTGAAGATACCTTTTATTTTAAACCATGATAGATACCTGATATTTTTTACGTAAACACCTGAAGTTTTTATACCCCAATTGAAATAATTACTGAACAACATAGTATTGTATTATATTATTGATTGCTTTCTTATTTATCAGTATTTGAGAACATTGTGGATGTGGATTATTCGCAATTTTCTGAAAAAAGTAGAAATCAAACAAATATTAAACTGAGAAATACATCTTGCTTAACAATATTATAACAATATTTTTTAAAAATAAAGATTTTAATTAATATAAAGCTTTTTCAACGAGTTTTCGATGTCATTGCGTATTTAAAGTAAAGCGAAGAATAGTTATTAAAAAAGAAAAAAAATGTTAATAAAAAATATACCTATATCCATACAAATATTTCATATTTTCTCGTTACTAGAAAACACATCCCGCAGGTGATAATTCCGGAAGGAATTAATGAAGCTTTCAGATTTCAGAAAAAAATTTAAGAATCTTATAATAGATAATTGGAATTAGATTAAAAAAAGGTATTGAGAATCTCTCTTGCACATTTTGAAAAATTGAAAAGGACCAACAAATTGCATAATATAGGTAATAAAAATTTCTCTACAAAATCTCTTCGTCCTTCTTTTCATCTCCGTCATATGTTCATGACTTGACAAGCAAATTGGAGAATTAGTAGAAGCACACGAAGCACAAAACAAGAAACGAAAGCGAAATCCGGTCGATCGAATATCCGGAAAATTACGTTCAAGGGGAATCTCACTCTTACGAGGGAAAACGCGAGGGTGGAAGGTAAAGGAAAGGAATGGAAAGCGAGGTAACGAAATGATGCGAGCGCATTTCGATTTCCTTTGAGCCATCGTCGTGCGAAACTGTGGGCATCTCGTCTTTCTCAGTCCTTGCTCTTCAGCCTTTCGTTGCCTTTGTCGTTTCAACATTTTATTACCCAAACGCCACCCTCCGTCCTTCCGCTCTTTAGAGCGAATCAGGCCTTCGCAGATTTTTCGCGGATCTTGGCAATCTTGTTCGCCGACGAGAAGCAGTTCGTCTCTTACGGAAAGGACTCTCTTCCGGTGTAAAGGCCTACAAGTGCGGACAAAAACGCGTTTGTGTAACATCAAAGTTTCTACGAAGGCTTGTACAAAGAAGATTAAAAATTGTAAAAACTAAGGTATTCTCTTAAGAAAAAGAACTGAAGATTAGTGTTCTAATAAACTGTTTAACTATGCTGTAAGTAATGATAGAGATTTTATCAATTTCTGCACTATCATCAATTATTATTGATAAAACTAATTAGTTTATTGAAACACTAACCAGTTTTTTTTCCTAAAGGTCTGATAATTATAAACCATTATAAAAATGCTAATGGGAAATAAAAGTACAATAAAAAATACAATAAAAAACACAATACAATCATATAAAATATAATTATTTTCTCTTTATTCTATTATTTAATCCGTAAATAAAATATATGGATCTTGATGATCCTAAAATTAAAAAAAATTTTTAATAATAATGGAAATTTGGAATAATTTTATATTTTACAATTTTATTTTTACCTGTTTTGAACTTGAAAAATTTAAAAAAAAAATAAAAAATTAATAAGAACTAAAAACAAAAAATAAAAATAATAAAATTTTTGAGTCCCAAAAATTCATATATTCCTTTAAACGTCGAAAAATATATGTTCCTATTACGAGTTAATAAACCAAAATTAAAATTATTAGTTTTAATTTTAATTTAATTTTTTTTTAAGTGAAAGTTTTATTTTATTACAATTATGGTTGTATCTTTCTCTTCGTATATTCTATATCTTTCCTTTTATACTTCTAACGAGCATAAAGATCTTTCGCAGGGTTGTTTGACCCAAATCAAGCGATTTTCCATAGATTTTACGAGAATTGCATTCTGGCGAAAAGGCACGCACCGTATATGAAAAACCACAAAGAAACTTTTCCTCGTAACAGTAAACGAAACACATGCAAAGGCACGTTTTGCGATTGGTAAATAGCTGTGTTAATTTTTTTCAATGCTTGAATTATTCATAAAAGAGGTATGTCTGGACTTCAATCAATTCTCATTCTTTTTGTGCAATTATAATGAAGCTCTAATAACCCCGAATATCGGGATTATGAGTAAGCGAAAATTGCACCACGCTCACTCAAATATGATAACATTTCAGAATGTGATAACATTTCAGAATGTGAATATTTATATTGACAATTCGTCTAATATTCAAGAAATATAGAAATAGAACATTATATTCTAGAATCTTTTTAAATACATTTTAAATACGACGTATAACTTTTAGATAAAATGAAGGGATGCTGGAACCTTTTTCTATATCTTTTTTTCATGAAACAATCTAAAGATGTGCTATTTTATGTTATATATAAGTGATATTCTCAGCGTTACACCAGACAGATAAGATTACGGTAGATGATTTTTAGCAAAGAATTCGATCGGCCGGATAGCACGGCGTTGTATTTCCTGAAAAGTGGCTGTTACTCGACAAAAATAATATCAGGGGATATCTAAAACACTTTTCACAATTCTTTTATCGAATATATTTGCACTTGAGCATGATTATCGGATGGTAAGTTTCGCGATAGCCTCGTTTGTTACAAATAATTCTCTTTTATCTGGCTGCAACGGGTATATCTTTAAATAATGCAATTTTATAATTTAGTCAGTAAAGAAGCTTAAAATAAAATATTATTTTTATTTTTGATACAACTAACTAGAATGTAAAATGTATCTAATTGCAAATGTGGTTCGTATACTACATGATTCAATCTCACTTGAAACGCCGTAACTTATGATATACCAATTTCCTGCTTTCCGCTACAGGATTAAACGGAATATACTTGATCGATTAAATTCCCTTTACAATAAAATAGATGAGAGAAAGCATTAATCACGTGATCCTATCATTTCGACATCACGCTACGTTTCCCGATGTTTCTGTCCCCTTTCGCAAGAGCAGTCTCTCGTTTGCCTCTTTTTAGGCAGAAAAGGCCGGGTAGACAGGAGTGACATAAAGGGGCTTTTAACTCGAGCGTAATTTCCTTTTGATCGGAAATTCAATATTTTCTTACGGCCGCCGCGCCTTTCCGCACACGTAGCGCGAGTTTGCTGCTTCCGGAACTTTCCAGGCCGTTTCTCGATAGAAGGCGATTAGAATGCGTACACGGAATCGGAAAAAAGAGCACGTCAAGGTATGTTTCCGTTCGAAATGCCGATGAGTTTGACGTGAATCTATGCTTGCCAAGCGAAAGAAATGATTGCAGTTTCGACTTAAAGCGTTTATCAAACTTATTTATACAGGAATGAAAATTTACATCAAAATTACTGTAATAACATTCTATCATGTACAGTTACACCATTTGTGTAAGCAAAAAATTTCAATAATCAATAATAATTATTTATCTAGCGACAAAACATAATGTTTAATTGTAAGTAAATATCTAAGAAACTGCTATAGTAATTAATAAATCCTAAATATCAGAAGTTTTACTTGTAATATATTTTACGGATCGATAACAAGCTGGAGTGGAGTAGTTGTTATTGGTATTGAAAAACGAGCCTAGTATATTAGCATAATAAATCTAGAAACTAGCCAAACAGGAAATTACAAAGTTCTCTAGGCTTGTAGTATATGTAGACGAATTATGTGGGACGTCGAAAAGCGAGACAATCTCTAGAACTAGCGATATTCCGATTATAAACTTATTTCAGGCCTTCGTGATCGATCTCGCGCGATTTATGTCAGATGTATTAAAGTTTTCGTGTTAACGAAAAGAGAGGAAGGTTTATAAGCTACCAGGAGCGACGCCAAGCAACTTCAATTCTGGTACCGTCGCTTGTCTCGTTTTTGCCGCAAGTATAACTCGCAGAACCCAACTTTCACGAAAAAAAGTGACTATTTCGATAGCTCTTGATGTAATAAAATTGTTAAATAGATTTTCAAGAATGGAATTGTAGATTGAATTACTTTCGTACGTTCTCTTGTACGTTTTCCAAGATAAAATTTGATACTCGAGGTCGTAATATAATAATTATAAGAATTAAGTGCATCATAGATGTGAAAATATTGTTTTCTAAGTATTTCTAACTGATAATTTTTCTAGTAAAAATAAAATAATATAAAGCATAAAATTGTACCAGAAAAATATGTATTAAAAATGTACTTTTTTTTTATAATTATGGAATGAAGCTTGTTTTAAAAATTTTCTAGAAATGAGAATACATATGCTGTATTCAAGAGTAACAGTTCACTACACGGAAAAAAAAAACGGTTTTATTGTGATAAATGTCTAAAAACATTAGATACAGATACTGAAAATAATTTTGTTGGACTATTAAAATAATTACAAACGCTCAAACTGATTGGTAGAATATCAAAATGCTTTTTGCATTGCTTATTATGTTTGAATTCCCTACATAATTATGTTGATGGTCCAATAATATTATTTTCAAATCTGTATCTAACTAAATTTTTAGAGATATTTCAGTAACGTTATTCTTTCCGTATACACATCTATAAAAAGTTAACAATGATGGTTACATGCGCGCAACAATTTTTATCATTTTATAGAATACCATGTTATCTTTTTCTTTCTTGTTTCTTTGTAGATGGGCGTATCCTAGAATTACACTCACCTGATGGTGTTCACGAATGCTGGTTGAGAGCCGCTGACAACACGGAAGCGAACGTCTGGTTCAATGCTTTGCACTCGGCGTTGGCAGCCCTCACCTTGAAAGCATTACGACTGGCCTCAGCACTTCCAGATCCTCAGCAGCTTCAGCACATAGGCTGGTTGGCGAGGAGACATTGTCTTCAGGTAAGAGAAGTTTCCAAACATTCACTTTGAGAAGTATGCTGATACAGGATAACTTCCTAACATACTATCTTGCAATTTATCCAAGAATATTCTATACATACTATATTGACGATCGATAGAAGTCTTATTCTCGATAAAAATAGATTTATACTTGAAAATATTTATTTTTTGTTATGCATTATAAATAAAATACTTATTGATGAAAGCTAAATTTATATAAATAACAAATTTATATGACATAGCTTTTTAATAAAATAATAACTGTCGAAATAAAATTTAATTATCGTATCCTTAATTCTTTCGTCTGCAATCTGGATCTTTTTGTTCTTGTCTAAACTTGTTTGCTGTTAAGCTTTCAAAAATGTGGTTAAGTGTGATCTTCTTTTCACGATTGATATATACAGTCTAAACAGTCTCTAATAATAAGAAGTATCCGTTTGAGCGTAACCGAATACAACACAGAAGATTGAAGCAATATTGTCGCAATGTTGCAATATTGCAGATTACAATGTAAATTAACAATATGCAAAATGTTAGTAATATGCTTGTAATATTCCACAAACATTGCAAAACTATAATTCTTTAATTGTTACAATAATAATAATAATATAAAAATATAAGTTTTTACAATATTTATGTAATACAATCTTTTAGTTTAACCGTTTTTATGATATAATAATTAATATAATTCGTTTTATATTTAAATAAGAAATTTATCGATCTATTATTTGACAGCCATTAGCTAAGCTTTATATTTATTTTAAATATGAAATCAAAAGATTGTATAATATCGAATTTGGATACAATTAATGCATCATTATCGGATAAGACAATAAGCAATTAAGCTGCTGAAAACGATTTATCGAAATATTAATTATGTGATCAATGATGTATTTATGCCCGATGTGAACGCAAGAATAAACCAGCGCCCGAACTTTATTGATAAATTGCATACCGTTATTTTTTAATTGATTTCAATTGACTCGGAGTGGTTCCGAATTAAAAAGAATCACTGCGATTAACTTAATCCATGATTAACTTACCAAGCGACTGTTATAGCGATTATTATATTAATGTGAATAATATTTGTAGTTTGTTCGCATACATATGCTTTATTCTTACGAATAAATTTAGAATTAATACTAAATTTATTGGAATATTTTATGGTTTTATCATAAAAAATTGCTTTGGAAAGCACATATCACTAGAAATGCAATTTATAGAAAAATCAAAGTTAGTGAGATACATGTATAGTTTTCACTTTAGAGTCTTTGTAAAAAATTTATCCAAATACATTACATTGCAATATTACTGGAACGTTTTGTTGCAATATAACAAAAAGCGAACATTTTAACATTGTTGGAATTTTACAACAATGATTCAGCAATCATGCAATATTGCAATGGTTCAGTGAAATCATTTCTGCAATCTTTCTGTGCTGTGTGGGAAAATATCAATTATTTCCTACAAGAGGATTTTTCAAATAACGATTCTTATTTTCGATTTTGTTAATATTCGATAGAAAATTGACGATTTTGTAGTTATTAAGTTTCATCTGTATATACCTGTATATATATATATATGGGTAGAATGTATGCAATATGTATGCAGGAGAATGTACGTTGAGCTGTTTTGTTTATCGTGTACGTTGCGTATATGGAATTATTGAACGTCAACGTTATGGGAAAGCAAGTGACGAGCCAAGCCATCGCCAATTGATCTTCCTCTTCGTCGCTCGCACCATATTGCCTGATTAGTGTCGCAACCGCTCAAATACTGTTTGGTTCAGAGAGACGTTGGATAGTATTTAAGCAACCCGTGGGACGATTTCAGAGGAGGGCGACTGGCAATCAGGCGCGCTAATGCCAATCAATTATGTGCCGGTAGCCACGTGCCCTACGGCCCTCCTGCGGCGTCCTTGATGCCGCCGATACTCGCAGGGCGGTCCTTTATCAACAAGGCAACATCCGGTGGCGGGCTTCGCGTATTAGTTATCGATTCCTGCCGGTTACACGATCAGTAGATCGATAGCATCGTCGTCGATGCTTCGGCCGGTCTCACCGCTGCACGTTTACCTGCTGCGATCTCTGCAAGTGACACGTCTGCGGAGTTGGATGGCTAAGTGGAGATGGAAAGATCAACTGTCGCACCTCGGATATCCCTAGTGGCGCTATTTAATTGGAAACTGTGGATAGAACAGATTTCTGCTCGATAAGGCTCGTGGGTTTGGCAATAAATATTTAATCGGTAATGAATAGAAATAAAAGTTCAATTCCGATCGATCATTTAGTCATCAGCGTTTGACGTTAAATATTGTAATTGGTTTATTTTCACTTTAAATGTGTGAGTAATATATTCACGTTTCGAATGTTTTTTGCAGCGTTATTTAACTGAAAATAGTGAATACAGTTGATCTTTTTTTTTATTCGTAATGACATTAAATCGCTGTCACATAAAGCTCTTTAAATGAAATTCATTATTTATCTAATCGTTATTATGGCGTGTTAGTTATTTAAATGTTTTAATACAGTTAAAATGAAAGTTATTCGTTTCGAATTGGCTAGAAAAAAATCGCATTCGATAAAATAGATGTAGATACAAAAAAAAGGTATTGAAATAATGAGTGTTTGATAACTTTTGATTTGATTTGAGGAAAATCGAAAATATTTCTTGAAAAATATTGTTTTTACAAAAAAAAAAGGAATGTTCGTATATCGATCTTTGACAAGTATTTATTGCTTCTGATTGGTGTTTTATTAGTATCTATTCAAAACCGTGTGTGCATCAATAATTTACTACGCATATTTCGCATTGCATAAAATAAATATTGCTTCTGTTCTATCTGCGATATTTACGTTAAATCGCATACTATCGTTCAAATCTGATGTGAAACGAAATGCTCGCTTGTCCGCTTGTTGAGCGCGAATAGGTCGGCGTATTCATTAATGTGCCGGGGATCACAGCGCCGCGTCCGAGTGGAATTTATCGATCGGTGATCCATGACCCGGTGATCGACGCCTGTCATTTAATTAACGATTCGATGGGATATTTAAGTGCCGCTGTTAGTAATCTAGCAAAGCGAAGCAACGTTTGGATTTTTCCGGGCACGTGGCGATCCATGATCAACTAGCTGAACGAGTTGTATCATTATTTAGAAGCGTGGTCGTTCGCGCTGAGCACCTCGTAAAGCTGGATATTGCGTTTTATGAACAGCATCGAGCTAGCTAAAATGTATGCGGTAAATGTGCCGATCACGCATGGCGTTTTCATAACTGAAACAAAAACGCTGCGAAAAATACTCAAAACCGCCGTGAAAAACACGAGGAGTACGCGCAGTGCTAGTATGTGTTCGTACTATGTATTTTGTACTACATTCTGTCATCCTATTTAATGTCGTCCGCAGTGTGCCGTTACGTCCGCTTAAATCGTCGATTTATTTTATTTACTGTTGGATGTAATCGATTTCCGGCCAGCTCCACTGTCGACGGTTTCGATTCTCTCCTGGTCGGCCATGTTAGCCGATTACAGTAGTTATCCCTACCTGTTGGACTATATATTTACTAAAAACGTGCAGTTTTCAGCCTTTTTTATTCGGAAACAATATTTTAGTATCAAGTTAATAATTTATATCTATACGAATACATATATAGACAACGTCGAAAATTTCCGCAAATTGACAAACAGAATGAATAATTGTTGCTCTATTGTTTTTCGATATATTTGCCCTTAGGCCGTTAGACACTTGTTTATTCAATAAAATCAATTGATTGCATCATTTTAAAGGCATCTCAAACATCAGATTTCCAAGACTCGATTGCTATTTTAATTGAAAAACAAATATCTATTAGATTCACTTTTCTCTCTCGCGTTAACCAACGCGCTTTAATAACACTGCTTTATTACTGTAAATAATATTAATTATGTTAATAATGTTTCTCATCAAATTATCCTTAAATTCTGGTGGAAATATTTACCTTGTCGCACCTAAATTATTCAAAAAACAATAATTAGAAATTCAAAACAAGAACTAATAAGAGTCTAACGCTGATATAAAAGCGATAAGTTAGGAAATGCAGGTAATACTCAGGTGTTGACGATTGTCTTCACTTATTGTATCGAATGTTTCGGTTCACTTTGGAGTCACCTTCATCAAAAAATAGAATATAATACATCGTTGAAAGTAAGTCACTTGCAGATTAACAGAAATGCAATAATCAATACGCTTAACGGGAAACAAAGAAATTCACAATTTTCATAAGATATAAATTAAAACAAATCGTTCCTCGGATTAATATTATGTCAGTTCATCTTGATGTGTCATTTGAAATTACTTCAAACAATTTCAAACGACGTTAAATGAACATTGAGAGAAATGATTTTGTTATAGGAACAAATCAAGGGAAAGCAAATGTGATATTTAAAAAACTGATCGATTTGTTACGATTGCAAATTAATTCGTTCAATGTAACTAATTAATAGTATCGCTAGCAAATAAGAGGCTCATATATATATATATATATAAAA